TTTTTTTTTTTTTTTTTGGTACTAGGGACTGAACTCAGGTCTTTGCGCTTGCGCGGCAGGTGGTGAAACTACTGTGCTAAATCCCCAGCCCTGAACTTTTTTTTTTTTTTGGTACTGGGGATCGAACTCAGGTCCTTGCGCTTGCAAGGCAGGCAACAGAACGACTGAGCTAAATCTCCGGCCCCTGAACTATTTTTTTTTAAGTGATAAAATGGACTACATTCGGGCCTGGGATTTAGCTCAGTGGTGCTGCTGTCTGCCTTGTAAGCACAAGGTCCTGAGTTCAATTCCAGGTACAAAAAAAAAAAGGACTACATTCAAAGTGTCTTAATGCTAAAAGATGCCCAAAGGAGGAGAAAAAAAGAGAGTGAGAGAGAGAGAGAAAACAGGACAGGCTGAGGCAAAATATCTGCAATGCACATGACCACCAAAGGCTATATATGCAGATACAAAGAACCTCAAATCATTATAGGACAACCTGACTTTAAAAATGGCTAAGGGATAAGGAAGTGGCAATTCACAGAAGAGGAAATCCAAGTGGTCAATAAATAAACAAAATTAATGAAGTAACATTTCACATCCGTCAGTGAGCCAAAGTGTGAGGTCAGATAATTTCGGTATTGGAGATGGTGTTGAGCAATGGGAAACCTAACTGTGGGGGGTTGGGTGTGAATTGGTGTAACCTCTTCAGAGAGCAATTTGGAAATATTTAGTGAAGTTGAAAATATATCTTTACTTTAATATATTCAACGATTCCACTCTGGGTACTGACTTCAGAGAAATGAATCACTGTAATAGCAAAAAATAATTTAAATGTCCATCAATAAGAGAAGAGAGGGCTGGGGATTTAGCTCAGTGGTGCCACTGCCTGTCTCACAAGCGCAAGGTCCTGCGTTCAATCTCTAGTACCAAAAAAAAAAAAGAGAAGAGATAAAAGATCCAATGTAAATATAACAAAATGTTAGGCTCTGACAGACAGAAGTATGAGTAAACAAGCAATAACAGCATTACTGTTAACAGCTAACATGTATAAGTGCTTACTTTGTACCAGGCTCTGGTCTAGGTGCTTTTCATATGACACAGGTACTGTTTTTGCCCCCATTATGTGGATGAGGAAATGGAGGAATGGAAAGGTTAGGGAACTCTGGTAAGATCACACAGGTTACAAGTAAAGGAGGATGGTTTCATTCCCAGCCCCATTCTTTTTTTTTCTTTAAGGAGGAAAAGTTTATTTCAGCTCACACACAGCCCCAGTCTTGACAGCTACACTATATATTATTTGGTTTGCTTTTTAGGGATCCATGCTAATCTGTTTTTTTCTAAGCTTGAAATTGTTTTATGATAAAAATTAATATGTAAGCCAGGCATGGTGGTGCATGCCTGTAATCCTAGCACTCAGGAGGATCACCATGAGAAGTTACATAGAGGGGTCCCTGTCTCAAAAAACAAAACAGGGGGCCGGGGATTTAGCTCAGTGGCACCACACCTACTTCACAAGCGCAGATCCTGAGTTCGATCCCTGGTACCAAACAAACAAACAAACAACAAAGCAAAGCAAAACAAAACACAAGAGTTTATGGTTCTATAAAGTCTAAGTAGGAAACTTCATAAATCTGCTCATGATTCTTTACTACTATTCACAATTTGCCAGCCCTAAGATACGTGCTTAGAGAACGTGGTAATTACATGGACAGGCCTCTCTAATATACACCTATGTATCTACATCCCACATTAACGTTTAGACACTCATGTATGGACTGCGACATTTTATACATCCCCTGTAAGAATGGGGTTATAGGGCCGGGAATTTAGCTCAGTGGTTTCGCTGCCTGCTGTGCAAGTGTAAGAACCTGAGTTCGATCCCCAGTACCAAAAAAAAAAAAAAGAATGGGGTTATACATCTACCCAGTGCCTCTCCGATTCCTGGATTCCCCACTGAACACAAACTTATACTATGGAAATGCAATACAAGCATCTATTTTGTTATTAAAATGGTGAGAGAATCTTACCGACAGCAATAGTCTTAATATCAACAAGATAAGCCAATTTCTTATTATCTTCCATTCCTTGCTGATGTCGCTCATTAATACGGACGCTGAAACATGAACGGTAAGGGAAAGCAAATGGGGTTAGCCTGGGACTTCACTGAGGGCTCTGAAGTGCCATATGGGATGAAGTTTTTAGATTAACTGAAGGACACAGAATTTGAAAGTCCAAAGGAACTGTTTTGAGTTCCAAGGTTTCAGAGAACCTTGTGAGGTTACCTGATGAGGTGAGGGTTCATGAATTCAGTACGCACGGAGCCCAAGGTGTCGCTGCTCCCATATTCCACCAGGGTCAGCTCTCCAGCGTTGAAGATCATACACACCTGGGGAAGAACAGGACAGGACGCATGAAGAAAAACAGTACAGGCAGGTGGGCTGCAATTCAAGATGACACCTACTTTTCTCCTGGCTATTTCTCCCCTTTATCTGCCGCCTCCTTATCTTTTGCAACTTGCCCTCCTGACACACACGCTTCTGGGGGCCAATCAAGATGGTGACAGAGAAGAAAGCTCTGCTCACATTCTCATTTTCAAAGAAATACTTTTCATTGCCGCCAGATCCCTGCCAGGCTACCTGCAAAAGGAAGAGAAGGAAACAATGTGGATAATTACCCAAGACAAAGCTGAAAGAATTATAGGTAGGAGGCAGACAGATCAAGTTTAGGGAGGTTTTGGCATTGTACAAGAGGCACTGTGTCAGATTTTTGCCTTGGTCCCTATGTTTCCAAGATAGCACAAAAATAGTCCAACTATGGTGAATCACCCTGCAGGATTCTAAACTTCTCATTCCTTGAAGCCAGGACCCAGAAACGAGAAAGTGAGAGCTTCCTGTGGGTATCTTACCCGAGTCCCTGGGTCCCCGGAAGCAGCAAGCCAAAGGGGCCCTTCCCCACCCAGGACAGAGGTCCCTGGCTCCTACCTCACTAAGGCGATTTGTGTTCAGGTCTCCCAGCAGCAGCGTATCTGATGTGTGCACCACCAAATAACGTTCCTTTCCCAGGATTTTCACCTCTTCCACCTCATAGCCATAGTGAGACTTGAGCACCACACGGGTCCCTGATGCCAGGTTCTTCACAATCACCTTCGTAAGGGACAAGTCTGAGACTGAGGCCCCCAGGCAAAAGAAGAGTGCGCATACTGTGCCTCTGCCCACTTCCACAGCGCTCGGCACAGCACCTTGTTTCTGCTCCGCGGAGAGGACACTTTACACTGACACAGGGCTTTACTACACGTGAAAGATTTTCATGTGTTATGTATTTGCTTATGTGTTACATGTATTCGTGTATTTTTATGCATTTGCTGCTCAGAATACATGTGATTCTAGAACAGTGATGGCCACCCTTTTTAGGGACGTGGGCCCAAACCACAACCAAAACCCATGTATTTATTGCAAAGTGCCAATACTGCAATTAAACCTGAAAACAGAAGTTTTACTCTAAAAAAAAACAACTCTACATTAAAATCTTTTGGCTTAAAAATTAAAAAAACACATTGCGTGCCCTAGGCTCAGCACCATTGTTCTACAAGTTCAACGGGGTGAAACCAGTAACTCTATGTTCCTCTAGCTCTTTGTACAAAACTTTGCACCAGTTATGATGGACTCTGGCGTTATTTTTTTTTTTGGTACTGGAGATCGAACTCGGGCCCTTCTGCTCGCGAGGCAGGTGGCAGAACCACTGAGCTAAATCCCCAGCCCAATTTTCTTTCTTTTTTTTTTTTTGGTACCGGGGATCAAACTCAGGTTCTTGTGTTTGCACACCAGGCAGCGAAACCGCTGAGCTAAATCCCCGGCTCTGGCGTTATTTTTAACATGTTGTGTCCTTTGCTACGATGATTTTATTGATTAGGGGACAATATCTTACAGATAATTAGCTTTGTATTCATGATGACTAACAGTGTTTACACACAATAGAGAAAGAAAAATGTTTCTAAAAAGAATAAAATGAGGGGGGAAAATAGAGGAACCAAGCAATAAAGAAAAAAGGATAGGGGCTGGGGATTTAGCTCAGTGGTTTTGCCGCCTGCTGTGCAAGCGCAAGGACCTGAGTTTGATCCCCGGTACAAAAAAAAAAAAAAT